GTCCTTTACAGAACAATGGAGACCACTGTCATCTCTAAATTCCAGACATTCTTTATAGTACTCTCCAGGCTGACAGGATTTCAACACTACGCTTCTCCAGATTCATTCAAATTACCTGCTGCTCTTTAACTCTGTTGCTCAGTCAAAACATCATTCAGAGGTGTTGTTCTGGCACCTAAATTTTCAGCACTTTTAATCAGTTAATTTCTGTTTGGGGGCCACACTTGGGCTGCACTCAGGGCTTACTCCTGGCTCTGGGCTCAAGGATCAGTCCTACCAGGATATGGAGGGCCATATGGGGTGCTGGGAATCAAACCTGGGTTGGCCCCTTATGCAAGGCAAATGTTCTCCCTGCTGTACTATCTCCGCAGCCCCTTTTAAATTCTGTCCATTTCAACTGGGAGCTCTCTCTCTCTCTCTCTCTCTCTCTCTCTCTCTCTCTCTCTCTCTCCTCCTTCTCTCCTCTCTCGCCTCCTCTCTTTCCTCTCTTTTTCCTCTCTCTCTCCTCTATCCTCCTCTCTCTCCTCTCCTCTCCTCTCTCTCACTTTCTCTCTCTCTCTCTCTCTCTCTCTCTCTCTCTCTCTCTGGCTTTGGTGCAATAGGGACCAATTCAGGATAATCCTCTCCATCTCCTCCTCCCCTCCCAGAGCCTGAATGTTCTGGCCAACAGCTTGTTTCTCTCACAGTTTAGGAGCTAGAGCTGAGACACTGAGCAGTATGCGTGCGTGCTGACAGTCTCATTGTTCTTTTCCAAAAAATAATTTTCCCTGACATTTATGCATACTTTTCTCATGATGTGAAATTTGCAATCAGGTTTTTATTATTTTTAAACTTCCTTCTTCTTCCCCCAAACTTTTGGAATTTTATTGGTATCAAATCACCATGTATGCACTAATATAGAGAAGATTTACATCTGTTTTGGAGGAATGGGGGCTTGACCAACAGTGCTCAGGGCTTCTCCTGGCTCTGTGCTCAGGGATCACTCCTGGTGGTTTTCGGGGGGCCATCCCTGGTGCTGGGGATTTGAACTGGAATCAGCTGTATGCAAGGCAAATGCCTGTACTACCTTGAGCATTTGCATCTTTTTTTGTTTGTTGTTTTTGTTTGGGAACCACACCTGGAAGTGCTCTGGGGTAACTCCTGGCTCTGCACTCAGGAATTACTCCTGCTGGTGCTCAGTGTACCATATGGGATGCCAGGGATTGAACCTAGGCAGGCCAAGTGTGGAAGGTAAATGCCCTATCCATTGTATACTACTGCTTTAATCCCCAGAGCATTTACATCTTTAAAGAGAGTCATTCTAGGAAAGATTCTGCTCCTCCATTTATTCACATTTCTCAGATGTTTCATATTAATATTCCTTGATGTTTCCCACAGCTCAGTTATTCCCAGGTATTTAATCTTGTGGCCAATAAAAATAGGAGTCTTCCTTTTACATGATCTGGCACAGAACACTTGGTCTGTGTAAGAATATTACTTCTGTGTTGGTTGGTTACGGCGAACTGCTGTCTTTGCATTGCTTCTGACAGTTGATGGGTGTTGCCAGGATATTGTCTGCCGTGCTCTGCGTGTGCTTCTGACCTGTCTCCCTCTCTCGCTCACCAGTGCTCCCAGAGCAACAATAGACTAAGGAGGATGTTACTTTTTGCACATTGGGTCACTTTTGAGTCCTGCCATCAAACTCAGGCCAGTGGTTTCCGCATGTTGAAGATATGCAGAAAAAAAAAACTCATCACTTTAAGAGATTTCTGTCAGAAATGAAATTTTCTACAAACCCTTTCGTGTCTGTGAAGATATTCTTCTCTGCCACATGTTTATGTGGGAACTTTGGCCAAAGGGGTCTAAAGGGTGACATCCCAGCCTTGTCTGTTGGCAGCTCCATGGCTGTGGCAGTTTCCTTTTCAGAGACCTTGTTTTTTGGGGGGGTGTTTACAATGTGAACCGCTCTGCAGGTGTCTGTTCAGGTGCACTCTCCTCCAACGCAAGAGACTGCAGAATCTTTATTTTTGCGAGGTGCCCTCCTGGCAACTTTCAGCCAATTGTGCCAGCGGTTCAGTGCCTGAGTGCAAGGGTGTGGTGCTGCTTTATCCCTGTGGCGTCAGGGATCACTCAGGTCACCCTGGCAGTGCTTGGGGTTTCCAGGATCACACCAACCTTGCTCAGGGGCCTCCAGAGCTGTACCCCACAAAGCTTGGGGGTCTGTATCTGGTGCCAGGCATTTAACCACGGTCAGAAGCACTCAAGGCAAGTGCCTTCCCCCATGTACCAACTCTCAGGCCCCACCCTAGGGAAAGGTTTTTGCCCCACCCCGTTCCCAGGAGGCCTCTACCTGGCTTATGTAGAGCTACAGGCTTGAAAACAAGAGTCTGAGTGAAAGGAGAGTGATGGCCTGATAGCCACTCTCTTCCACACACAGGCTGAAGCTTTCGGTGTGTGGACAGAAGCCCTCTGGCTGGGAGATGAAGATTCTGGTAGCTCCAGCAAGACTGAGACACAGTGAGCCCAGGATTGAGCACACCTCATCAGAGCTGGCCAAGCCTCTTCCTCCGGCCAGTAGACTGGCCACTTCTCCAAGCCCCTTTGTGCAGATTTCAACACGCAGCAGCATTCAGTTCCGGAGGGAGCACCAAAGAACACAGATTCTCCAACTGCTGCCTCTGCTGTTCCCCCACTTGCCCGTCTAACCATTTCACAGGAAGGGGCCCGCTGGGCAGCGCTGCCAGCTGGATTTCTCTGCCACGCCATCTGGCTGTTCTTTCTTAAGAGAAAGGCAGCTTCAGCAGCAGGGGCTGGGCAGCCAGACAAGACCAAGCTCCAGGTTCATTGCGTGACCCTCCGTGATTTGACTCTGTCCTCTTTTTTGGGGGGGAAAATATAAGGAGATGTCAAGGGGAAAAAAAAAAAAAGGAAAATCTGCTCTGGTTTGGATTTTCTGACTCACCTGGCAGAGTTGTGTGATGACAGTGTGGCTGGGTGGTTTGGGATATTTTACGTGTGCAGGTATGAGGCACTCCCTGAGGGCCAGGTCCTTCTGGTGCCCGCATCACATGGCACATGCATGTGACCTCTCTCCAGCTGGGAGGGACAGGCTGCTGTTATTCCTACGAGGAAATCGGGTCACAGAAGAGGGGTTCTGGGCCCACATCACCACCAGGAAGTAGGACCTCAGCTCTCAGACCTGAGACTGGCTCTTACCCCAGCGGGCAAACTCTGAGGCAGCACGTGTTAGCTGGCATTAAAGGTCATGCGTGACAGGGATGGGACTCCCTCGACTGCCACTGCTAGTGGGTGTTCATAGAGAGAGTGAGATGGAGGTGGGTTGACAGCAGGAAGGAGGAAGCAGGGACTTGCTATGAGATCAGAGGCCCTGAAGGGCAGCTCGCTGGACCTTGCTCCTGGCCAGTACCAGAGAGCTGCAGCCGACTGTATTTGGCCAGGCATGAGCTGGGCCTTCTCTACCCTCTTTGAGCCAGATATGCTGGCCTTAGGGATTGTTTACCACTGTTCCATTTCTGGATGTCTGGTTCTGCGTGGTTAACTAGAATTAGTCATTTTTTTCCCTGCTGTATTGAAGGGAACTGATTTTGTATTTCTTAGGGACTTTCAGAGAGGTTTTTGTTGTTGTTGTTGTTTTCCTCTAAAGGCAAACAGAAATGGAGCAAGACCTGTGACCTGAGGGTGAGAGCTGGTGGCTGGGTGGGCTGACTGGGGCCTGATCTGGCTTTGTTGGGCGATGCAGCCAGAGTGCCAGACTGTGCCCCAGTGCCCTGCATGTGTCGAGAGGGATGGGCTGCAGGGGGGCCCATGCCTGGTGCTGACTAAAGTCCGAGTGATTTGTGCCTCAGGTTGGTTGAGCGGAAGGAAGCACTGTAGAACCAACTGTACTGTGGCTTCTGGGTCTCCTAGTCCCCCCCCCCCCCCTCTCTCCTTAGCAAGGCTGCAACCATATTTGCATACCCTGAGGAGTGAGGCTGGGGTGGTCATCTGCCCCACTGCAAACTTGCCCTTTCTGTTCTTCAGGGAAGCAGGGCAGGAGAAGGGGGAACTGGACTTCCCACCTGAATTCTAATCCCTGCTGGGCCTTGGACATGGGGTGCAGGAGGTGGGATAGGGGCAGGATTGACCCCAAAGTAAATATGGGGACAGCAGCGTCCCATTTTGCAGGGTTACAGCGAGAAGTGAACAAGGTAGAGATGGTGGCTTTCAGAGTGCCATGCCCCTGATGCTCACCAACCCTCCAACAAGGACACTGTGCTCAGTCACTTTGTTCTGACAGTGGCTCCCAGAACCAAGCCAGCAAGACCTTCCCTGCCACCTCTCCTGCTAGTCCTCCCACATTGCCCTACCCCCACCACCTCCCATTTATGTGTTCTTCCGTGTCTGGGGGAAGGAAATCCCTGCAGGAAGGAAGCAATGAGTGGAAGGTGACACAGGAGTAAGTGCCCCGAGATGGGTGGCCGGCCTTGGTTTTGCCTGTTACAGCGTACACAAGTCACCCACTCTGGAACTATCTTGGTGGTTCATTCAAGGCCTTTTACCACTGAGGAAGAATGGGGTCCCCAAGGCAGCCTTTGTATTTATTTATTTATTGCTTTTTGGGTCATACTCGGTGATGCACAGGGGTTACTCCTGGCTTTGCACTCAGGAATTACTCCTGGTGGTGCTCGGGGGACCATATGGGATGCTGGGAATCGAACCCGGGTCGGCCACGTGCAAGACAAAAGCCCTACCCACTGTGCTATCGCTCCAGCTCCACCAAGGTAGCCTTTGCTGCCCAAAGAAAGGTGGGGGCCTTCACAGATCTCCCCAGCAAGCACACATGGGTAGCCGGGGAGCGCCTCCGGGGCCTGGGAACTCAGGAGCAGACAAAGCCGAGGGCACTGGGTGGAAATCATGCTCATGGCTGAGGGGTACAGGGCAGCAGTCCCAGGTAGCCTCTCTCTGGGGCCTGGTGGAGGTGGGTGGGTTTTCGGCCTTCCTCAGAGGATGGTGTCCCACAGGTGCACGACCGTCTGGATCGCTACTGCTGTGGCTTCAAGCCCCAGCCCGGGGACCCATGTGTGGAGGAGAGGCTGCATGAGAAGTGCCGGAACCCGAGTGAGCTGCGGCTAGTCCACATACTGGTATGTCCTTCAGCCCCTCCTGACAAGTCTCATGCTTGTCAACTGCAGCGTGCATGGGGGGTGTGTGTAGGGGTGAGGGGAACAGGTGGGGGGATGGGTTTCCAGGGAGTCACACCAGAGTGGGGTGCATGCTGGAGTCAGAGACCCCGTTGCCTGGAGGGTCTCCGGAGAACCCCTCGAGCTCCTGGAAGCTGAGTCAGAGAACTGGGTGTCTATAAATAAAGAAACCGGGGTCCGGAGTGGGACAGAGAGTTTCCTGGGCCATGAGAATGGGTGAGGACTGCCAAGGAGCTTTCAGAGCACAGGACCTGAGGCTTTGGGCCCTACAGTGCACAGGCCGGAGCTGACCAAAGAAACACAGGGGGACTCCTTGGTAAACCAGAGCCAGTGACCATCCAAAGGACCATGTGGCAAATTAGCCACATTCTTGCACAAGAAGGAAAGGCCATGCATAGAGGGAAGGCCTGCCTTATCCCTGTGAGGGACAGTGTCCCTTACTTGCTCTGGCTCCTCACTTTTGGAGAGTCATGGCTGGAGCGATAGCACAGCGGTAGAGCGTTCGCCTTACAAGCGGCCAACATGGCCGACCCGAGTTCAATTCCTCCGCCCCTCTCGGAGAGCCCGGCAAGCTACCGAGAGTATGCAATATGCCAAACACAGTAACAACAAAGTCTCCAATGGAGACGTTACTGGGCCCGCTCGAGCAAATCGACGATCAACGGGAGGGCCTTTACCTTTACCTTTACCTTATGGTCAACACATGTTGTGGGCTGAGCCACATCAAGCTAGAGGCCGGGGATGCCCCCCCTGGACCATTAGTTGGGGGGAAGCCTTCATCCCCCCACCCCCAGAACCACCTTTCCCTCTCCCTGGTGGAAGGCAAACACCTGGGGCAGGGAGGAACTTTCTAGTATTTCCTTGGGACAGGCAGCCAGGAAGCAGGTCCTGGAGGGCCGCAGTTTTCAGAATGACTCATAAGGCTCCCAGAAGTAGATGATTCCTGATGTGTGGAGGCAAGTGAGGAAGAGGCAAGGCCAGAGACAGGGGAAGCACATGTCCATGAGCCTCCTGGAGCTTACCTGGAGAGGGTAATGGCGCAGCAGTTGTGAAGTGCAGGGAAACGTGGAGAACTGGGCATGTGCTGGAATGACGAGGAGCCAGAGAAGCTGCTCTCTGTGCAGGGATCACGGTATACTTGAAGGGGTGGCAGGAGTTTTCAGCTGCCAAGGTCAGTTCTGAAGAAGTTGGAGAGTCGTTGACCCCAAGTCCTAGGGGGACAGTGCATGGTGGCTGCTTCCTGAGGATAAAGAGTGCTTTGTGCTCTGAGGAGTAACCAGGGTGCAGGTGAGCATGAGCAGTGTGAGACACTGCCTCCTCTCCTCTCCCTCCACACCCTGCCCCTGGCCATGTGGGAGATGATCTTGCACCTCAGCACTGTGAATCCAGCTCTGAACCGGCTGCCACTGCTTAGCTGTGTGATCTCGTGCACATGAGTCTAGATCTTTGTGTTTCTGTAAAATGGGTTAATACCAGTGAGGTCTCAACCTCTGGAGGTACAGGAGGGCTCCCTGTGATGGTGCCTGTGAGGCCGCAGAGGGTCAGCTCACTGCGCAGCGTGTGGGGAGGAGGGCAGCAGCCAGGTGGGCTCTTCCACCCCTGAACCCTGACATTTGTGGGTGCTGGCTCAGCCATACCCTCACCCACCCATCTCTGTTGGGCTCCTTCTCCAGGTGCGAAGCAACAACCCATCTCACCTGGTCTACATCGATAATGCTGGGAACCTTGAGCTCACTGAGGATAAGCTGAACTTCCGGCTGCTGGAGGGCATAAAAGGGTAAGGGGCTGGTCTGACGGGCTGGAGCCCTGGGACTGGAGGGTCCTGCTGCAGATCCTGGGACCTTAGAGAGTAGCTGCCCCAAAGTCCATCAGACAGATGCAGCTGTGGCTCACATAGGGTGGGGTGGCCTGGAAAAGCTGAGAGAGGATCCTGTCACTGGTGCTCAACTCTGGGCTGGCCTGCTGCTCGCTCCCGCTACCTAGAGGACCTTTTGGCCCCACAGAGTGGGGCTCTTTGGGGTGCAGCCAGGCCAGTGTTTCCTTGCCCTCATGAGTGGAGCTGGTCTGGGATCCTGCCTTTTGCTCCCTTCTCCCTGCAGGCAACTCAGTCTTCCCGGGGCTCATTTCAAACATTTGCCAAGCAGAGCTGCAAACACCACCCAGCTTCTCTGTTAGGTGGGACCCAGCCTGGAACACTGTCCCCAGAAGTGTTTTCACAGAGAATCCCAGTCAGCAGGACCGGTGATATGAGCTCCGACTTGCTGTTCCCTAGAGCCTTCCTGCAAGGCTTCTGTTCCACTTCCTGTAACAGAGTCCACTGACCTTCCTGCAGGTTTCCTGAGTCAGCCGTGAAGGTTCTGGAGTCAGGCTGTCTACAGAATCTGCTGCTCCACTCTCTTCAGATTGACCCAGTGTTCTGGGAGAGTCAAGGTGGGGCCCTAGGGCTGAAGCCAGTTCTGCAGATGCTGGAGCAACGTGGACGGATCCTGCTGGGACATATCCAGAGACACAACCTCACACTCTTCGGGGACGAGGACCCGGGAGCCCACCTGTGGGCTGAGGCAGGGCCCTCTGTTCCCAGGTGGGTTCCCCCATGGCAGGCATCAGTGGATGAGTCCCTGTCCCCATAATCACATTTTCCTGGATCCCTCCATCTCGAAGATAAATGGAAGAAGCCAGAAACCCAGACTCCATGGATGTCACAGGATGCATCGTGCCTGAGGGTGGATATGGTTGTGGTGTTGGGGGTTCAATCACATGATACTCCTTTCTGCCTTCTTAGCTCTAGCTGTTGACTCTCTGGAACCAATTAAAACATTCAAGAATATTTTATGAGCTGCTCTGCTGGAGCGATAGCACAGTGGGTAGGGCGTTTGCCTTGCACGAGGCTGACCCGGGTTCGATTCCTCCATCCCTCTCAGAGAGCCTGGCAAGCTACTGAGAGTATCCTGCCCGCATGGCAGAACCTGGCAAGCTCCCCATGGAGTATTCGATATGCCAAACACAATAACAACACGTCTCAAAATGGAGACATTTCTGGTGCCCGTTTGAGCACATTGATGATGAACAATGGGATGACAGTGCATGGCAGTGCTCTGCTGCAGATACTGTGAAACTGTGTATTCCACATGCATACACAGAGCTGGACAACTCTGTGTGTTCGTGTGTGTATGTGTGTGTGCATATGTGCATTTGTACATGTGTATGTGTGGGGAAGAAACAATGATGCTGTAGGAGAATGAAGCTGTAAGGATGAGGATGAGGAGAAAATAAAGTCACTGATTACCAACCAGCCTGTGGCCCCTGTACTTCTGTTTCCCCAGGCTTCTGGCCTTCGTTTGTCCATCATTGTGGGCTGGGGTTCTCAGCCGCTGAACACATGCATCCACTCTTATTGAACTCATAGCATTATTTTGAATGAATATATAAACATTGATCTTCCAATTTATTTTAAATTTTAAATTTAATTTTTATTTTTATAAAGTAGTTCACAATATTTGATTAACTTTGATATTCAATCACTGGCAGTTTCTCCCTCTTGGAGAGCCCGGCAAGCTACCAAGAGTATCCTGCCTGCACATCAGAGCCTGGCAAGCTCCCCGTGATGTACTCAATATGCCAAAAACAGTAACACTAATGGGTCTCATTCCCCTGACCCTGAAAGAGCCCCTAATACGCCATTGGGCTACTCTGGCATGCAACAGAGATGAATGGAGATGTTACTGGTGCCCACTCGAGCAAATCAATGTACAGCGGGACTACAAATGATAAAAGTGATGTGTGTGTTCATGTGTGCATGTGTGTTTGTGTGTCATTTGTGCATGTGTGTGTTTGTGTGCATGTGTGTGTTCATGTGGGCATATGTGTGTTCATGTGTGCATGTGTGTGTGCATGTGTGCATGTGCGTATGTGTGCCCATGAATGAAAAGAGTCTACTGAAGTATCTTCCCAGAGCTGTTCATTTGTGTTCCCAGAGGGCTCTTGGTAGCAGATCTAAGAAGTGAAATATTAATGAGTTTGTCCTTAAAAGCTTTAACTGTTCAATTCTGTTGTATTTTGACTTAAGAATGATAAAAGGTAACACGTCTTCACTAAAAACAAATTCATAAATAATAGAATCATAGAAAAACTGAGAGCCCTAGAAATTCCCTAGAGATGTGTATGCATGTATTTTATTTATGCACTATCATGCAAATAAAAGGATAATAAAAGCAGAGTCATCTATTTACCAACTCCCCATTTTTATAAAACCTGGTATCAGTGTGAGGCTGAGAGCAGCCAAGGATGCGCTATTGTCTTCACAGCCCCCTTTTCGATACCAAGGACATGCAGGCACTGTCAGTCTCGCTTCTGCTCAGAACGGAGTATTCATTCTCTTGTCTATCAGCCCTGTCTCACCTCTCCAGCGGTGTGGGTTGTGTGTTCCATGCCAACCATCTCCAGGCATCAACCAATTTCAGGACTGCATGGAATTCCAAGACAGGAAGACACCATTTTTTCTTTTTTAGTCATTCCTATTCTGATAATTAGGTGGCTTCAGTTTTTCATCAATTATAAACAATACTGCTGTGGACATCTTTGCGTAGGTGCAAGTATCTCTGTAGTTATATTACTATAAATAGATTTCTGGGTCAGAGGTATGAGCTTTTTTTACCTTGAGGGGCAACCCCCTCTCCCAAATGCATGATCACAATCATCCTGTTGTTTATCGATTGCCTCGAGCAGGCACCAGTAATGTCTCCTTCGTCCTAGCCCTGAGATTTTAGAAAGTGCCACCTTTGAGGCTTTTTCAGGGTTAGGAGAATGAGACCCATCATTGTTACTGGTATTTGGCATATTGGGTACGCCACGGGGAGTTTGCCAGACCCTGCCGCGTGGGCAGGTTACATTCGGTAGCCTGCCAGGTTGTCCAAAGTAAGAATAAGATAATAAGATAATAAGCTTCTGGGAGCTGGGTTTTATAGTCTCTGGGTCTTGGCCGTTGATGGGATTACCCGGTGCCAGGGGGCCAGTTGGTGGGTGTGACCCCTGCCTACTGGAAGATGGAGGATCTGGGTGGAGGATGCTCAGCCCCGATCCAAGCAGGCTTGGAGATCTCAGCCCCGGGACCCAGGGACTCAGTATGCCTTTGTTCCTCTGCTGGTACCTTCATGTGTGTGGAGAGTGGTCTCAGCATGGTTGTGGCTGGTTCTGGCAGAGTCTCCTGCCCCCGCGCCTGGCTGTCCTCGCCCGGGCCCCTTGCATGGGGGCGGGTTGAGTTTCCCTCCCCGTCCTGAGCAGAGCTCCGGCAGCCGAAGACATATCCCAAATTGATGGTGTTAATTACCATTCTGATTAAGAGCAAGGGTACCAACTGCTTACCAATTGTTTGACATTCCTATTTAGGGTAGGGTAACAAAATTTTACTGTCTCAAGCTCTTTATTTTTATTGAACTATCTTTATTTTTAAAAATCTATTTATATTTTTGCTTTTTGGGTTCACACTCTTCAATACTTAAGGGGCTATTCCTGGCTCTGCCCTCAGGAATTACTCCTGGCCGTGCTCAGACCACATGGGATGCTGGGAATCAAAGTTGGGTTGGCCGTGTGCAAGACAAATGCCCTAGCAGCTACATTGTCACTCCAGCCCCGAACTGTCTTTATTGATCTAATATATTTGGGTGTTGAGGGGACAGGTTGGTCACACCATGGTGGACTGATGCAAGGCAAGTGCTTTCACCCTTGCACTAACTCTGCAACCCTGGGAAAACTATTTTTTAAAATGGCAATTCCTTAATCTTTCCATTTGCATGTTAGTCATTTGAATTTTATTTAAGTTGTCTTTTCCTTTTGAGATGTTTGTTCTTTCCTTGTTAATTTGTTAGCAATCTTTAAGTCTAATTAGTGTAATCAATCTTTCTCTGTTAGATATGTTGCAAATATTTTCTTCCAGTCTTGTCATTTGTCTCTTGACTTTGTTTATGGAGTCTTTTGCCAAGTGGCAAATTTTAATTTCTGTGCCGTATTATCTATTTATCTTTCCCTGTAAATTTTCTGAGTTTCACGCCTTCTTAGAAAGGCTGTCACTATTTCAAGATTATTGAAATAATCTCTTCTTTTTCCCCTAGCACGTATAGAGTATTTATTTTAAACATAAAGCTTTAACAATCCATATAAAATTTATGTTGAGAGCTTTGTGAAGCAGAGATCATAACTAAATTTAACTCTACCAAGATTAAATGTGCTAACATCATTATTCAACAATTCACTCATTGTCTACTGATCTCACAATATATTGTTCCCAGATGTTCAAGAGTTCCATTTGTCAATTCTGTGTTACTCCACTGATTTTTTTCAGTTCCTGCATCAATATAATTCTATTTCAATTAAATTTTACTATTTTGCCAAAAATATTCATCTTTTTTATGCTTTATTTTTTCACTTTTTTGGTTGCGCATTTGCTTATAATAGAATAGTGTTAATCTATGAAACATGCGACCCAGTTCCCAGCGGCATTCAAAATTCCATTAGTAATTCAATGGGGATTGTATGAAATTTATAAATTAGGCAGAATCTGACCTGTTTGTGATATTGTGTACTCCCATTAAGGGACATGATTTATCAAATCATTCTTTGGTAACATCCATGAAAAATTTAACATTTTCTTCAATAATAAGTTTGCTTATTTATTTATTTTTTGGTTTTGGGGTCATACCCAGTAATACTCAGGGCTTACTCCTGGTTTTTCACTCAGGGATCACTTGTGGTGTGACTTGGGGTGCCAGGTACTTAACCCAAGTCTACCCACCGTAAAACATGTGCCTTACCTTCTGCACTGCACTGTCCTCCTGTTGTTCATCGATTTGCTCAAGCGGGTGCAGTAACTTCTCCATTGTGAGACTTGTTGTTTGGCATATTGAATATGTCACGGGTAGCTTGCCAAGCTTTGGCTGTGCAGGCAAGATACTCTTGGTAGATTGCTGGGCTCTCCAAGAGGGGCAGAGAATCGAACCCAGCTCTGCCGGGCTGGCCACTTACAAGGTAAACACCTTATTGCTGTGCTATTGCTCCTGCCTACTTCTGTACTATCCTCACAGTCATGGTCCTCCCATTGATTATCAATTTGCTCCAGCGGGCTCAGTAACATTGTGAGACTTGTTACTGTGTTTGGCATATCAAAAGTTCACGGGGAGAGGCGAGATACTCTCGGCAGCTTGCCGGGCTCTCCGAGAGGGGCGGAGGAATCGAACTTAGATCAGCCATGTTGGCTGCGTGCAAGGCAAACGCCCTACTCGCTGTGCTATCGCTCCAGCCCATGTACTATCCCAAAATATTTAAATAGAAAATCATAGATTCAAATAATGATATTTTCACATTTTTATTAAGTTAAAGACAGTTTCTGACAGACATATTTCACTAAGTTCAGAAAGTTTCTTTTACCCTTGGGTTTTAATAAATTTTTCAGGATTCAAGATTGGTGCTTTAATGTTATTAATTACCTTTTCAATGTCTACAGAATAAATAATAATATGTCTCCTTTATTTTCTAATGTGGAATGCTCTCTACAGCCCCACAATAAACCTATAGGATAGGTTTTTAAAATTTAGTGTTTGTATATATGTTGCATATATATTCACATATGGTCTAAGACACAGATTTCCAAATGTATTTAGTCCTTGTCCTTTTTTCAGGAAGACAAAA